TCTATGGTTTCTTTCAAGGTAATATAATTTCTTTATTTATCTCTAATTATGTTGTGAATTTTTGTTTTTGTTTTATTTAATACCATGATTGCAATGCCTGCTTTTTTTTTTTTTTTAGATATCCCTGGTACCTAGTAAATGTTTCAGCCTCTCATTTTTATGATGGAAGTATCTATGTTTTTTAGGTCTGTTTCTTGTAATTAACAATTTGTGGGGTTTTGTTTTCTTATCTAATCCCTCACTTGTATTTTACTGAATTATTTAATAACTCTCACTTAAAGTTATGAGATTTTGGTTTATATTTTCCTCCACTTGTGTTTCTAGTATTGCTTTTTATTTTGGATTAAGAATTGTTTTGTTTTCTTGATCTTTTAATATAATATTATCTTTTCAGTTATTTTGTTTAATATGCCTTTATTCAACCTATTGATTTGAAATCTCACCCTCTTTCCCCATTTCAATCTTTTCCTTTGCCTCCTCACTCATTCTTCTATAGCCACTCTTCTTAATGAAAGACGACAGGAGTTTATTTTCCCTTTACTGTTTGCTGCTAACTTGATTATGGTATATCTCTCATTTTCCTCTGTCTTCTACATCCCCGGTCCTCTTTTATGTACCCATCTATTCTGTAGTTTAGTTGCAGAAATGACATTGATTCACATTCACCTGTTGGTGGGAAGGAGTAAATTGCAAGGTTTAGTCCAGAGTGTTTCAGGCCTATTCCTCCTCCTTCATTTCTTCTATTTCTTTGAGTATTACTTTCACTTATACTTTGTGTATTACTTTCAGCTTGTGTATTTTTAGAAAGAAATTTCTACATAGTCCCTGTTATTTCTTTTTTTATCCTATAAAAGTTCTTCACTTTCTTATTTTTTTCTCCTTTCAATAGTTTCTAGAGATGGAGTGATTTATTTTATTATTTGTGCATTCCCTGGTAGTTATATTTACTTACTTTCCTTGTGTTTCTATTCATTGAGGTGTCTGCAAGTCAAATAATCTACTTATATGTTGGGTTTTTTTTTTTAAGGAATTCTTCAAGTATCTCTCTAGTTGAAAATCGTTTTTCATTGATGATTAGGTAAAGATTTGCAAATTTTTTCATTTTGGATTATATCTTAAGCTCCTTTGATTTTTGGAATATATCATTCCATTCCCTTCTATGGTTTCTGGTGGATCCAGAATACTCTTGTCCTTAGAATTTCTATTTCTTTATGTTTAACATAAAGACAGCTAGGGGGCACAGTGGATAGAGCACTGGTCCTATTTCATCATGTTGGTTCAAATTCCTTTTTTTTTTTTGTACTACTGATTTAGAAACACATGCAGTCATTTAACTATCCTTGTATCCACCATCCCTTCTGTTTTAATGCCCTCCCTACTGATTTTTCTGCTTGTGCTCAGGGTTTTTAACTGAATTTTCTTCCTCCTAAGATTGATGTTTTTGTCTTTTTCTTCCTTTACTTCCCTACTGCTATTTCCTCTCTGATGGTGGATCCCCTGAGGGCTGGATCCCAAAGTTTTCTCATCTTCCTCCCACATTGGAGAATTCATTTTTCACTGGTTTCAGCACTAAAGTGAAATCTTGGTGGACAGGATGATTCCGGATAGAATACAGTCCCTTTTCCTTGAGGCCTGGTGCAGCACCCTGTCCCAGTTCCCTCTATTTTTCAAGTTCTGTAGTTAAATGCTGCAATGCCAGGCAAGACCTGCTCCCACCTTCCTATACTTTCCCCTTCTCTGAAAATGGGTGGGCAGTTACATCTGCCACTTGTTGCCACAGAATGGTATGGAAAGGTCAGGGACAGAATATACCAACAAAGACTATAGCAGCATCAGGGAAATTGTTGAGTAGCCGGTTGGATTGGCATTCTGCCAGAATATGGGGGTTGATTGGTGAGGGAGGGGGTAGTGTATACATTAGAGATTCAATTTCTCTTCTGTTAATTCATAAGACTACTATCTTGTCAGGCTTCTTGGTGTCTTGGCTATTGTAAACCATTTTTTTGTTATTTGAGGGGTTTTTTTTTTGCTTTAACATTAGCTCATAATTCCCCTTTTGGTGAGTTTTTGAGTTAGTAGGGTATGGAGAAAATGTCTAGTCCTCCTTGTTGTCCATGTAATCCATAATTTCCATCAATATTTTTCTATGATGCTGTATGGCCAAGTCATGGAATAATACATTCTTCAAAGACATAAAGTTGTAGACAGTAAAGAAGTACTTGGTAAAAGTAGGCAGACAGCAGCCCATTTAATAATAGGAGAAGCAGAATAAAGGATATCATTAGAGAGATACAGTACTGGAATAGAATGTGGACTAATTAGGTAACAACAAGGGACACAAAGGGTCTCAGAGAAAAGATACAATGGGGAAGATAGAGATAGAAACAATACGGCACAGACCTGGAGGAGGCTGGAAACAGACGGGATGAAGAACAATGGATTGAAATAACATTTAGTTTTAATATTTTTGATGTAGCTGTTGCTATTCCATTTACATTTTGAAGTCACTATTATTTTCATGATTTTACTGCACTTGTCACCAGTTACCTATATCATTCTGTCTCTGTATGTTACTCAAACATCTTCATAGTAATTGTTTCTTATGGTGCAATAATATTCTATCACATTTATCTACTACAGTTATTTAGCTATTCCCCAGTTAATGGCATCTACTTAGTTTCTAGTTATTTGCTATTATAAAAAGTTAAAGGGAGGACAGCTATTTGGACATGAATATAAAAACAAAAAGCACCAACATTTTAAAAAAATTATATTCATGGCAAAAATTACTATGAACAAATATGGCTCCAAAGAAGAGATATAAGAAGACACCTAACCCCACTCTACTGAAGTGGAGGGAGGTCCACAGGCATGGCATATTGCATATATTTTCAAACTTTTTAATGTACTGTTCATTTTGCTGATTTTTTTGTCTATTTTTCCTCTATTTCTTTAATAATAATAGTGAGATATGAGATGGATTTCTGGGAAGGGAGACAATAGTAGAAATTCTGGTGATGTAAATATAAAAGAAATAAATTAAAATTTATTTTAAAAATTTAAAAATCTAAAAAATTCTATTTATAAGATTTATTTTTCCACCATGACCTTATGTTTAATAATGTATATTCTCTTTAGGAAAGCCTTTCATCAATCACTACATTCACCAAGTTTCTCTCCTTTGAATTTGCTGATATTGAAATGGGGGGAAAAGGCACCAAGGATAAAGGTCACATGGCTAAGTTACATGTGTTTTGTTTTTTTGTGTGTGGTTTAAATAAACCCTTTTCCATATGTAGCCTAAGTGCGTGCAGGGAAGTTGAGGGTCCTTTGCAGGGGATCTGAAGGACCCTTTGAGGGAAACAAAACAAGACAGCCAATAGAATTCCTAGAATTTCCTTGGATGAGGGGAAATAAGCCAAAGAGATTTTTGCCACACCCAAAATTATACCGAGGTCCTCATAACATGAAGACACTCCAAAACAGATTATGTAAGCCATACAAAAATCTCAAATCTGTTTCACATTTCCTTATGCTATATCTAATAGAAGATATATCTTAATGTGTAAAACATATCTTTATAACTCTCCTAGCACCCAGCACAGTGATTTGAACATAGCATCTGCTTGATAAACAGTTGTCTTAGAATGAATAAAATATTGATATTTTACAAAGAGCTCTCTTTCACATAACATATCCCCAGCCAGCAGCTATATAACCCTCCCCAAAAAATGCCTCTGTATATTTCATGATGCTTGTTTCTCATACTATGGTGCTACCCATAAGTATGCTTATATACTGTATGTCCAAGAAATGCATGGAAAAAAAAAAGAAAAGAAAAAATCTTCAATACTGCCAACTCTCTCCCTGGAGACACAGGAGTAATTCATCCTAGGGGCTCAGATTTTTCAGTTGGCAGTGTTTTAAAAGCTCTCCCTAGGGCCATTTTTAGATATTGCTGAATATACTTCACTGAAGGTATTTAGGTCTTTCCAGTCTCTTTGCCCTCAGCAAGCAGGCGGCCTGAAAATCAAAGGCCCCATAGTTCAAATGAAGAGAATAAAATAAAACAATCCCTTCCTCTTTCCTTTCTTTTCATCCTCCCTTCTCCCCTTCTTGATCCTATCTCCTGTCTCTTTACTTCTCTCTTCACATTCATCTTCCCTATTTCCCTTCTCACTTTTCTCTCCCTTCTCCCACCACCTTCCTCTCTTCCCATCCCCGACTCTCTGCCTTCCTCCTTCCCTTCTCCACTTTTCTCTCCTCTCCCTTCCCACTTCCCCCCTTTCTTCTCTCCTCCTCTTCCTACTTTCCTCTTTCCCCTTCCCCACCTTCCATTCTCTCCCTCCTCCACTTTCCTCTCCCTTCTCCTCTACCCTTCTCTTTCCCCCACTCTCCACTCCTCCCTTTCCTCTCTCTCCCTTCTCCACTTTCCTCTTCTTTTCTTCTCCCCACTTTTTCCTCTCCTCTTTCCATTTTCCATTCTCCCCCTCCCCACTTTTTTCCTCTCTCTTTTCCTTTCTGCCCTCCCCCACTTTCTTCTTTCCTCCGTCCACTCTCTACTCCCCCCTCCTGTCTTCCCCTCCCCCACTCTCCACCTTTCTCTCCCTTCTCTACTTTCCTCTCCGCTCCCCCGCTTTCCTCTCCCCTTTTCTTCTTTCCTTTCTCCTCCCTTCCCCACTCTCCACCTTCCCCTCCCTCCTCTACTTTCCTCTCTCTCTTTTCCTCTCTTCCCCCCCAACTTTCTCTTCTCCTTCTCCCTCCCCCTCCTCCATTTTCCCCCTCCCGGGGGAGGGGCGCGCCTGTTTTCCTGCGCATGCGTGCCTAGCCTCCTTCCCGCCGCTACTGGATGTGGTGTCACGGCGGGGTAACGGGAGGACTCCCCTCGGCCTGGAGTCTCTTACACTGGCCTTCTCTTCTCCCCCACCCCCTGCTGACTTTGACCTTTTCCGCTTTAAGGGCAAAGATGCGGCTGAGGGCGAAGGAGCGTCGCGTCCTACCCTGTACTCTGCCGAACACCTCGTAGTCCACAGATTTGAGGGTCCTGGCGGTCGACATAGCAGCGGCGGCGGAGGATCCCAGTCCGTGGAGCCGCGAGAGGAGCCGGGAGACTGAGGCGCCCAGCAGGGGGAGGAGGAGGAGGGGAGGGAGGGGAGCCATCGGTCACAGTCGCGCCGCCGGCGCGCCCCCTTCGGCATAACGGGGACGGGATCGCGCAGGGATCATGCTTCTGGGAAAAGCAAACGAGCCTGGGGCGGCTGGCAGGGGCCAGAGAATCAACTGAAGATCATGGGAAGAAGTAATGGAGAACAGAAACACACGCTCTCCCACCGTCCTGCGGCACAGGCAGGGACAGGTTTAGTTCTGTTTGTACCTGATGTTTGTCCAACATTAGGACATTGGGTGCTAGACCTCGTGCTCGGGAAGTGAAAGATCGGACTGCCGAGGATTGAGGAGTTTTACTGCTTTGGCTATTGCCAAATCTTGATTCCCACCTCAGCCCCATAGATGAGCCACTTGCAGGCTCCCTGTTAAGCTAGGGAGTTGTTTTGTTTTTTTTTTTGATAGTTACGTGAACTTAAAGATGGACTCCAAATGGACAGTTTTGGAATTAAGTAAAAGGAAAACTTTACCTACTCCCGTTTTACGGATAAGGAAAATGAAACCCAGAGCGATTAAGCGAGTTGCCCAAGGTAGCATGGCTAGTAAATTAAGAGGTGGTATTTAAATCCAGGTACACTGATGCTAAAGCAAAGGACCTGAGTTCAAATGCCACCTCTGTTAGTACCAACTCTTGTTATGGAACAGCAATTTTTTTAACGTGATGGATCACCCATTCAACTCCATAAGTATCCACTATATGCAGAATGCTAGTTAAGGCTCCAGGAAATATACAGTGGATAGCCAAAGTAGCAGCTCTCATGGAATTTAAGGTTTGGGAAAGAGATAAGATGCACTTGCTGACTATAACATACAAATAAGATAGGTTCAGGCAAAGTACTTTGTCAGGTCCAAAAAGGTAAAGTTAGGATAGGCTTTTCGGAAGAAAAATTGTAGCAGGTGAATACAACATGTTAATGTATATTCTTTATATTCTAAAATTTAGAATTATCGCTCACATTCAGTAGCACTTCAAGGCTTACAAATCACTTTCCTTAAGGCAGTCCTGTGAGATAATATGCTAAAATGACTCCTGCTGGCAAGGATCTTAGGAGTAAGAGTCAGGAGGAAAGATCCGTGCATCCATGTTGCTGTATATAAAATAGATATAAGGCAGTAAAGGTGGGAGTGGTGAGGCTATGAAAAGGCTTAATGTAAAAGATGGTGCTTGAGATGACCCTTGAAGGAATCCCAGGATTTCTGAGAGAGTGAGGAAATTCAAGGCATAAAATAACCAATACAAAGGCATGGAAGTGAGACTCCATAGGACAACAAGATCAGTTTGGCTTGACAGCAGTCTGCATGGAAGTGGAGGTGGGGACGGAACAATGTGCTGGAAAGTTACACCATATTATTTACCGAGAGTCACACATATAGTAGCAGGCAAGGTCTTCTGATTCTAAAACCAATGAACTTTCATTATGTTTATAATTCCCTTATATTTCAGAAATTTCCCACCGAATCTTTCCATTCTTCTTTCCTCTTTTCCCCCTAATGAAAGACAGAATTAAAAGCATAGGAAATGCAAAAAAAAAAAAAAAAAGTTTAAAATCACCTTTGAAATAAACCACATTTCTCATATTAGGAATTATCAACTTCCTTAATTTTACAAACAGAATCATAATTTGAGAGTTGAAAGGTACCTCAATGGCCATCTGGTTTAACTCATAGATAAAAGGAATCCCTCACTAAAATACCTGACATGAGTTATCTAGCCTCTGCTTGAAGACGTTGAAAAAGGGAGACCCTACCACCTGTTGAGGCAGCCCATTGCAGTTTTTGATAGCTCTAATTGTTAGGAATTTTTTCCTAACATAAGTCTAAATTTGTCTCAGTAACTTCTACCCAGTGCTCCTGGTTCTTTCCACTGAGACCAAATCAACTCTAATACTTTTATTCAACAGCCCCTCCCATACCTGAAGATAGCTATCATGTCCACCTGAGTCTTCTCCAAGCTAAACATCTCCAGTTCCTTCAATTGATTCTCATATCATCAATTCAAGGCCTTTTGATATCCTAATTGCTGTACCCTGGATACTCTCCAGTTTATCAATATACTTCCCAAACTGTGGGTCCCAGAACTGAACATGGTACAAGAGATGAGTTCTGAAAATGGCAGAGTATAGTGGGACCATTACTTCTCTACTCCTGGAAGTTATACCCCTCTTAATGCAGCTGAAGGCACCATTAGCTTTTTGGCTGCCAGATCATACTATTGACTCATATTGAACTTGTAGTCCACCAAAACCTCAAGATCTTTTCCAAAAGTACTGCTTTTAACCATGCTTCCCCATATTATTCTTGTTAATTTTTTTGTGTCCAAGTACAACATTTTACATTTATGCTTATTGAAGTTCATGTTGTTAGATTCAGTGTCAACAAACATTTATTATATGCTTATTCTGTGCTAGGTACTATGCTAAGAGCTAGAGATACAAAGAAAAAAATCAATCCCTGCTTTCAGTTCACATTTTGATGATGTGACAACATGCAAAAAATTATACATATAAGAAATGGAATATAATTTCAGAACAAAAGGACTTATGGTTGGAGGGACCATGAAAGGCCTCCTGGCATGACAGAATTTTAGCTGAGTCTTCATTGAAGCCAGGAGACAGAGGCAAGAAGGGAGAGCATTCCAGGCATGTGTCAAGTCAGTGGGATAAGGCACAGTTTGGAGATGGAGTGTCATGTTCAAGGACTAACAATAAGGCTAACACTAGGTGGTAGAGTACATGTTGAAGAGTAAAATAAAGAAGATTGAAAATACAGGAAGGGTCTAAGTTTTCAAGAATTTTAAATATAAAGGAGGCCCTTATTTTTTATCCTAGGAATATTAGAGAAACAGGAGAATTTATTAAGAGAACGACATGATCAAATCTTTACTTTAGGAAAATCACTTTGGCAGCTAATTGGAAGATAGATTGGAACAGGGAGAGATGAAGTAGGGAAACCAACTAGAGTTTATTGCAATAGTCTAGGAATGAGATGATGAGTGCCTGTGCCACTATGGGTAGCTCTGTGAGTAGGGATTAGCAGACACATATAGGAGATGTTGTGAAGGTAGGAATGACAAGACTTGGAAATAGATTGGATATATGAGTTAGGAAAAATGAGGACATGATGTTATAAATGCTGAGGTCACATACCTGCATGACTGAGAGGATAGTAGTGCCCTAGACAATAATAGGGAAGTTGAGTAGTGGGGAGTGTTTGGGGGAAAAAATAAGGGATTCTTTTTTGAGTATGTTGCATTTGAGAGACCTATGGCACATCCTGTTCAAGATGTTGGTGTTTTGAAATTGAAGCTCGAGAGAAAGATTTGGGTTGTATAAATAGATCTGAGAATCATATGAATAAAGATGATAATTAAACCTCTAGGAGCTTATAATATCACCAAATAAGATAATACAGATGGAGAAGAGAAGAGAACCAAAGACACAGTCATGGGGAAATACCACAATTAGAGTATGTGACTTGAATTATGATCCAGCAAAGGAGGCTGAAAAGGAGTGGTCAGAAAGGAGAAGAACCAAGAGAGAGCAATGCCACAAAAACCTAGAGAGGATAGAATATCCTGGGGACAAAGGTAGCCCTAGAACACCATCAAGATTCTCTTAGACCATGATACTGTCATCCAGTCTGTTAGCTATCCTTATAATTTTTGTGTCATTGGCAAATCTTATAAACATACTTTCTATGTCTTCATCCAAGTCATTGATGTGAAAGAAAAAATTCTGTATTCTGCTATATTTAGGCTCAAAGTCTATCAGATACAATTTTAATAATGCTATTAGTATATAAGTATTACTGCTTGGGAGAGGAGATTCAAATAGCAAAGTTACATCTGCCAATTAAAATTCTATCCCCTCAGGCAAAGTCTTCATGCATTTTCTAGCATTCAGAAGCAAAAGTAAATTTCTTAATATTCAGTAAGTTAATATTAAGGGTTCAGAGTTTAGGTCAATCAATAAACCAATCAACATACATTTATTAAGTACCTACTATTTGCCGGACACTGTGCTAAGCACTGCCGATACAAAAGAGGCACAAAAAGGCTCTGCCCTTAAGGAACTTAAAATATAATGGGGGGAGGCAACATGCAAACAAATATATACAAATCAATATATGTTCAGTTAGCTAACTGAAAAAAATATAGACACTAGAAAATATGTTTTAATAGCCCATGGTTCTACATCCTGAAGCAGAAGAAAGAAAATATTTAAAGTATGCCACCAATGATACATTTGCCCCAGC